TTTAGAAGGAAACGCGCCATAAGTTTTCGATAAGGGATCACGGTGGGACATCTGGTTTGAAAGCTTTTTTCGTGATTTTTGTTTTGTATGCGTAAATTAAGCTTATAGCCCGGGTCGCGATTACGATCCGGTAGCAGACTCATTCGCGAAGCAGCAACTCATGAGTTGTTAGGTCTCCTTTGGCGACGCTCGGGTAGCTGTTAGCAAATCCCACCCATTCTTGCTGAGCCCTTGCTCGCCTACCTGTCCTGGTGAAACTGAAAAGTCCTCAGGGCCACTGGTAATCTTTCCTTCACAAAAAAAGCTTATATCCCTGATGTTTAATTACCAGAACTCGTATGTTATACGTAAAAATGCAACTATGTAATTGTCGCCACCCACGTCGAGACATGAATTTTACGTGTTCGTTTTTTTTTCGCTGCAGAAATGGTGGGTGGAAGGAGGTTAATTAAAATATTTTGACTAGCAGTTTCAGTTCTTATACGAGTATATTATATTCCCTACTTCTAGGGTGCCATCACATTGAAGATATGACAATATGACGACTGTGGCTAGGTCTTACGTCTCAAGATGTCACGATATTCGTATTGTGAAGGGCTTTCTAAGACTGGAGGATATTGTCGGACCTTGGCCTAAACGTTAGTGGTGGTATGAGACGTGGTATCGCTTTTCTAGGCCTGGCAAAACATTCGCCACTTGAAGAGCTGTGTGACAAGTCAAGGCATGTTAAAACAAATGATTTTTGTGTCGTTATTTGATGGACTACCTTCTAAAGGTGCTTTGCGTTGCAGATACACATAACATGAGTTGAAGCAATACTTTAAATCATGAATTGATTGACTGTTATTGCCGAATTGTTATTTATGATAGTTTTTTTCGGGGAACGATGCCAGAAATAGAAATTTTGGATACGGGACTGGTAATTCGTGTGGCGTTTTGGAGAGGTAAGCGAGTACTTAGAGATGGGATGCGACTGCGTCGGAGATCAGAGCCTACAGGCTTCGTTCTCTGGATGCAACGAATTTTATAAAGCCCCAAGAAGCTTTTAGACGTTTTTTTTTTTTTAAATTAAACCATTGAACTTCGACTTGTGTATGAAGACTATGACATAATCAAGTGAATAAAATTATCCAACAACGACTTGCTTTTAAATAATTATGGTATTCTATGAAATACGGATTCTGATGTACCCTATTACCAATACCGAACTCAACCAGTTCTTGAAATTGGTCATTTTACGCTCTACTGGGAACGCATCATTTTTCACGGATAGTCTGATATTGTGATAATAGATGCCGCCGGTAACTACATTCCCCATCCTGTGGAAAGAATGGAAAGCAGTCGACGTCGCCCAAAACACGTTATTTCGAATCCTCCCGATCCACTAACGGTGCTTTTAGGTACCTCAAGCACCGGTCATCGTTCTCGTCGAACCCGTGCGTGCTTGCGACGAAGGGCTCGACGAGTAAATAAACCCTCAGACACAGCCCACTGAGTTTCTCGCCGGATCTTCTCAGTGGGTCGCGTTTCCGATCCGGCGGGAGATTCTACGAAGCACAGCTCTTGCTAGGGTTCGTGTTAGCAACGTCGTCAGGTTTGAGCCCCGTGAGCTCATCTACTAGTTAAGGTTCCGCTGATATAGCCTCTCAAGCCTATCAGCTTAGGTAGGAAAAAAAAGCGACCCGATGAGAAGATCCGGCGAGAAATTCAGCGGGCTGATGTTTAGGTTAGGTTGCAGGTTAGGTTGCGGTTACCGGGACCTCTACGTCTGCTCCTAATGTTAGAGCTAAAGTTGTCTAATGCAAGGGTTATTGGACCTGATGGATCCGTAAGGACGTGGCGTATAATGTGCGGAGCGTCGGAAAACTGACTTTTGCGCAGTTTTGTACTTAAATTACCTATGCACCTTAAACGGATCGCGCTAAAAAAGTTAATACGTAAAAATAGTTTTAATTAATTGAATCTATAATCAAACAGAAGGGGAAATTATATTCGGCCGTTTTATCTTTGCCCGTTTAAAAATAGATGTTTATAAATTCTATTAGGCCACGGTCGAAGCAGTTCAGATACGTACTACTTAGGGTTGCCAGATTGGAGGTTGTGAATATCGAGACTACACACGAAATTGGTCCTTGTATATACATATTTGAAACCTAATGAAAATTGAGTTTTAGATAAACACATTTTTGCGGCATAATTAGAACTCCTTTGGTCGTGAGTCGCTTAATTCCCAGATCGGAGTAAAATTCGTGTTATGATCTAGTTTGTTAACTCTTATAATCCATAGACACAGCTCACTGAGTTTCTCACCGGATCTTCTCAGTGGGTCGCGATTCCAACCCAGTGGTAGATTCAGTCTTTGCGGTCCTGGCATCGCTGACGTCCTTAAACGACTGTAAATTAAACGAGCCATATGCTGGTCTGCCTATAGGGACAATAAAAAACTCGATCCACTGGAAACCGAAACCGTGCATTTCCTCACAGTTAGGGTCCTCGAATAGCACCACATCACCTCTTTCCGTGCCGTAGACACACACAGCCCACTGAGTTTCTCGCCGGATCTACTCAGTGGGTCGAGATTCCAATCCGGTGGTAAATTCAAGCACTGCTCTTGCTAAGGCTAGTGTAGGCAAATACTCCCAGATCAAGTGAACTCACCTACCGGTCTGGTCGTAGCTGAAGTAGTTTTTTAGACAACCAAGCGAATAAGTTTGTTCAGGTGTTAAATATCCATATATATGTTTATATAAACGTATGTAAGTATGTGTATATAATGTAGATTTATTTTATTCACCGTAAAAGAAAGATTAGCTCAGGAAAGTTGCTCTATAAAGAGATACAACATTTAAAGCTATTGCTTCACCAGTTCTTATGTTTCATATGTTTCAATATTCAAAATGTTTCAATGTTTTCTGTTTCTTCTTCTAATGTTTCAAAATACAATTTATGTCACCTGCATTACTTATTATAACCTCTTTAAGATTTATACCATAAATCATATAGAGGTTACGTGTATATGTATGAGTCTGTGTTCCCATAGTACAGGGAATCCTTAGTGACTTTTTGGCGGAAACGCGAGGAGTGAAGTTGTGTGATTTGTTTTATTTTGTCTATTTAGTGTTTCTTCGGGTTTAAATGTGTAATAATGGTGGTTTATTAACTGTTTAATATCTGTGAAAGTGCAAAAATGTGGGAAAATAAAACAAAGCCACTGGACGTAACTTCTCGGAATCCTCCAAAAAGTCCACTGAAAAAATCTTAGTAAATGACTACCATTTTACTGAGATTATATTTCATCCCATTTCATTTCATTTAATTTCATCCCAGTTGATTAATGTCTCAAATAATCATCTTCACTTCATTTCCCTCCATAATATCATTTTTCACAAAAATATGAATATAAATTAAAATAAGACATGACTTAAAGGTTTCAGTTACCAGGTCATAAAATCCCTTAAAAAAAAGGAATCCTTAGTGGTAGTTGACCGTGTGTAATCTGTAACAGATGAATTGTTTTATTTGCTTAGTATTAAAATTAATGTTACATACTTCTACAATTTACTTGTGTCCATTGTAAGGGCATCGTCTCAAAATTCTGCCAAAAATTCTGGCTGGCAACACTGTTAGTGGTTGAATTTATTTGTGACGGACGATTTTCGCGCGTAAAATAATTACAAGACGCTGTTTTCTCAGAAACATATGTAACGTTTTTTGCGGTTCTATGTCACAGAAAAACCAAAGTCTTTAGAACTATACCTACGTTGGTGAATACGAAAAAAAAGTCGTATTATAAACTAATGAATCAAGTGCTAAGTTAAGGTATTTCTTGTTGCGAACTCCGGCGCACTGGTCGCGAATTACATCATCGTCACTACGTAAATAGTACGTTTCCAATGAACGACGAGAAAAATGGTGTTGCATTAAAAAAAAATTGGTGAAAAACGTTTCGTGTTCACGACCTTCTACCGCGGAATTTTGATTAATATATCCAATGCAGATTCTAACTATAGAGTAAAGAAAACATTATTGTACATATTACCTTGAAATTGACATACTAATTTATATTTTGATAACTTTAAAACGGCCCTGTAGATGGCGTTAACCCTGAAAGATAAGTTTTGTACTATGATAATTAGATAGGTTTCTTGAAGCATTCGTTTATTCCCTTTATACCCAGTACAAAATAGTATTTTTTAATTATTTGTTTTTTATTACTTAGGTGTGTGGACGAGCTCATGGCCCACCTGATTTTAAGTGGTTACCGGAGCCCACAGACATCTACAAGGTAAATGCCGCCACTTTCCTTGAGATATCAGTTCCAAGGTCTCAGTTCTTACAGTACAACGGCTGCCCCACCCTTCAAACCAAAACGCATTACTGCTTCACAGCAGAAATAGACCGGGTGGTGGTACCCGTGTGAACTCATAAGACGTCCTACCACTAGTAGTAATACGCATCTTCAGTAAAACATAAAATAAATACAAGTATGTTTTATCCATATACAACAATATAGTTACTCCACTATATGATGCGTATGAAAATAAACATTTAGGTACAATTTATATTACATATAATAAGCATAATAATATAAGCAAGAAAATTGTATTACTTGTAATACTATTATAAAATTCTCTTCATAGACTTCTAGAACAATTTTATTTTAATTTTATTTGAACACTGTATTGTGTAATTACGCTTTGCGATTTGGACATCTGGATAAAGTCAGGTTACAATGATGAGAAAAATGCTTTGAATCGTCTAACAAACATTATTACTTAAAGTGAATCAAGATTACGACTAGTGACGGTTCAACAAAAATAAAATAAAAAAAATCGTTTTGCAAAACAATGGAAACTGGCACACTCGAACGCACACATACAAGTCTCGTTACACACAAACCTATTCCCAGCGCTAACCCGATAAGGCTTTATCTCCGAGGATTAAAGTTTTTTTTCGTTTATCATTCAATCGATCGCTTGTGCATTACGATAATTTACCCGACGTATCCGCATTTGTCTCAAATATTAAGTGTATAATCTATGGGCATTTGTGTTTTGTAACTCATATTGAACGCACAAAAATTAAAAAAACGTAAGTTTGCCACAAACTATTTGCATCAAAGAATTTAAATTTCACACGTTCGACAGTTTTTCAATAGTATAATGTTGTATTAATATTAAATGCAGTGTTTATAATTGAAGATGAATTGTAAACAAGTTTACGGAAACTAGTTTTAGCTAGTTTTCGAATACAACTGGCAATTTCGCAGAAAAACAACGATATTGTGTTGTGATTAATTAATAATGAATTTTGTGTTTATTGTTTATTTTTTAATAATTAACCTAATTTGTCTGTTAGATCTCGCCTCAAACGGTAAATATATTTAAGCCTTAAAAACCTGAAATATTAAGATATCCAATAAAATTGGCAATTGTCGTAATGGCTCATTTGTTTGAATAAATGTATTCATAATTTAGTTAAAACGTAAAAATCGTTAAAAAACAAATCACATTACATTTATTAAAGTATGTATGCATTATTGTTCATTATGTTAACACCATAGATTATACACTTAATATAGTTAACACAAACCTAAGTTCTAAATTCGAGAAAGATCGGTTTTCCAATGATTAATAAATATAATAGAAATGATAAAATTAATAAAATTTATAGCAAAATTTACGATTGAAATATTTGCAATCAATATCGGTTAGTGTTTAGTGTTTTAGATGTACAAAGGTGAGCGTATGTGAGTATTTAAGATTACCCGCTGTTTGATCAATCTGATTTAAATCTAGAATGTTTCTACCCTCCGCAGCGACGCTTCTTCGCGCCCACCTTCTTTTTATTGCCCTTGTAGGCAGACGAATATGCGGCCCGCCTGATGGTGAGTGGTTACCGTCGCCCATGGACTTCAGCAATGCCAGGGGCAGAGCCAACCCGCTGCCTACCTTTTTTTTCGGTGTTTGAGCCAATCTGTCGGCGACAATGACTGCTGTTCTATATGAATTGACTCGAGTGAATTCCTTTTCAGAAAATGCCATTTCAAAGGCCAGCCAGTGTTCCCATCGGGCAGGTATGGAGTCGTTTTAAAGGCAAAGAGAGGGATGGAAAACCAGCTAAAATGTCAGTGTGATAAACTATTGTATATTACCACTTCGATAAAGCGGTATGACACGAGAACAATCTCATCGTGGCCGCCGGTACCTAACTACATTCCCGATCCTGCGGACAGAATGGAAAGCAGTCGACGTCGCCCTAAACACGTCATTTTGGACCCTCTCGATCCACTAACGGTGCTTTTAGGTACCCCAAGCACCGGTCATCGTTCTCGTCGAACCGGTCGCTTGCGACCAAGGGCTCGACGAGTAAATTAACCTACAGACACAGCCCACTGAGTTTCTCGCCGGATCTTGTCAGTGGGTCGCGTTTCCGATCCGGTGGTAGATTCTGCGAAGCACGGCTCTTGCTAGGGTTCGTGTTAGTAACGTCGTCAGCTTTGAGCCCCGTGAGCTCATCTACTAGTTAAGGTTACGCTAAAATAGCATCTCAAGGCTATCAGCTTAGGTAGGAAAAAAAATGTATATTACATCTAAACAAGTAGCTGCCTTGGACAGACATTCTTAAGCATTTCGACGGGTGAAAGGCTATTTAGTTTAAGCGACATTTATCTTTGTAGTGAAAGGTCCGTTTCATTTGGTATCAGCATCAACAGTTCGATGTTTTTAATTGAGCTACAATTAAGCTTACCGCATTCAAATAGCTGAAGAAGTTTTATTTTGTCATGATATTTTTTCCAAATGTTCCTAATTTTTTATGTCTCTCCTGTGATACTACGAAAATGTCGCTTGTCGTGGACTTTTACCCGTCGATTTCAATATAGTTCATACTACCGTGTAATTTGAAAAAAAAATCCTAAACTAATACGTTTCATTTCACACTTAAAGTTATTTTTTATTGCTTAGATGCGTGGACGAGCTCACAGCCCACCTGGTGTTAAGTGATTACTGGAGCCCATAGACATCTACAACGTAAATGCGCCACTCACCTTGAGATATAAGATCTAAGGTCTCAGTATAGTTACAACGGCTGCCCCGCCCTTCAAACCGAAACGCATTACTGCTGAAATAGGTAAGGTGGTGGTACCTACCCGTGTGGACTCACAAAAAATCCTACTACCTTAAAAGTAATTTCGGATTATGTCTGCTACCCGTAAATACTAGGCTTCGACATTAATGGGATCGCGTCGTCTTATTAAGCGACTCTAGAACTGTGTGCTTAGTGCGAGTTTTTTAACGTTCTCGATAGCGTAAAAGTTAGCTCATATTTGTATGGAATGGGATCGTTTGTCTACGTTTGCCGCTAGGGGCGCTGTTCCAACTGCATACAAAATTGCGCTAACTTTCACGCTATCGAAAACTTTAAAAAACTCGCACTAAGCACACTGATTACACGTCGTTTGGTCCAACAATTGTATTGTGTGATGCAACGCAATCAACATCGTCCCAACTAATCTGAGCCTTGGTCAAAACTCTATTTGTTTTCAAGGTACCAAATAAGAGACATGGACGACGCGAAAGAGAAATGCTTAGAGTTAATGAAGAGTACTTTTTTGAGGGACGAGCCGCTTTGTGATGTATTAGGTAAGTTTCGACAGAGCCCGTGGACCGCTGATGCCTTTACAGCGGTTGTGCTGAGAGCTAATTTATCGAAGCGAAGCTTAATGAATGTGGTTTTCAGGGAAAGCTATTTGATTTCATGAAATTCCGTGCAATATATTATATAACCTCGTAAATTCCTCAATGCCTGAAGACAAAAGTCTTTAATCAGTGCGTTCTCCCCGCGATGACCTACGAAGCGGAAACCTGTGTGCTTAGTGCGAGTTTATTAACGTTCTCGATAGCGTAAAAGTTAGCTCATATTTGTATGGAATGGGATCGTTTGCCTACGTTTGCCGCTAGGGGCGCTGTTCCAACTGCATACAAAATTGGGTTAACTTTTACGCTATCGAGAACGTTAAAAAACTCGCACTAAGCACAGTGGACACTGACGGCGGGGCTGGCCCATAAGTTAACACGCTCGCGTGAGCAACGTTGTGAAATGGCGCAACGTCATATGACGGCCTCTAGATTATCATATTTGTTTTGTCCGAACGTCTTTGGACGTCTATTTTATGGGAAAATTCCTATGGTACATCTACTTAGCGCCGCAACACATTGGATTGTTATAACCTACACCGCCGCGTTTCCTACAACAAAAAATCATCATAAGATGAACGTATTACGGTGGGACGTTTTTAGGCGTTGCTAAACTTTATATGGGAAAAAGGTGCGCCACAGTAGCAATATTCAGAAATGAGGTTGCTCACGCGAACGTGTTGAGAGTCACACAGCGGGCGATGGAGAGAGCTATGCTCGGTATTTCTCTAAGGGACAAAATCCGGTACGAAGAAATTCGACGGAGAACCAAAGTCGACAACGTAGCTCTCAAAGTTAGCAGGCTAAAGTGGCAATGGGCTGGTCACATCTGTTGAGGCCAGGTGGGGGAGGAAAGTCCTCGAATGGATGAGTACCAGGAGCGTGGGGCGTCCTCCAACCAGGTGGACCGACGACTTAGTGCGCACAGCAGAAAGCCGTTGGATGCGGAAAGCGAAGGACCGCATTATGTGGAAAGCATTGGAGAAGGCCTATGTCCAGTAGTGGGCAGATAAAGGCTGATGATGATTTCATTCTAAACGATCAAAGGTAGTCTTAAGTCCTAATTTGAATGATGAGTAGCTATACATGTTACTAACTGCCATCTCCAGCTAAAACTTCCTACCAAGCCCAGTACATCGAGGAGTGAAAGGCTGAGACATTTATCTTTGTAATTAAAAGTCTGTTTTATTTGTTATTATAATCAACAGTTAGATGTTTTTAATTGAACTTCATTTATTAATAATTTACTGGTGGTAGGACGTCTTGTGGGTCCGCACAGGTAAATATCACAATCCTCCCTATTTCTGCCGTAGCAGGTATTTTCCCCCTACCTATGCTGATAGCCTTGAGAGGCTATTTAAGCTTCGCACTAACGTGTAGGTGAGCTCACGGGGCTCAAACCGGGAGTGTTGCTAACACTGACTCCAGCAAGACGCGACCCACTGAGAAGGTCCGGTGAGAAACTCAGTGGGCTGCGTCTATGGGTTAATTTACTCGGCGAGGGCGGTGACCGGTGCTTGTGGTACCTAAAAGCACCGTTAATAGTTCGGGAGGATCTGTAATGACGTGCTTAGGGCGAAGTCGACTGTTTACCATTCGGTCCACAAGATCGAGTATGTACCTTTGTATGAGATACAAAGTCGAGCTGACGAAGGTGTGTTAAAGAAAACAAATGTTTCTATTCAGAAATCAACAGGGATCCCGTTTCAATTGAGACTATAGTGAAAAACTGGGAGGAATACGTAGCGCAGAACGTCAGTCTGGCTTGTTACACCGAGGTAGACGGGGAACCTGACGAGCTGGTCGGCTTCAACATAGTCCTGGTGAAGAGCATCGACGATATAGACGAGGATTTAGATACGGTACAGCACTGCTGGCGTCAGTTGGTCAGGACTTCTTGGAGATGTTAGGCTGGGAGTGCTCCTATCGAGCGATGCGACCGTGCCGGCGTTCAAATCCCATAGACAGGCATCAACAGCTCTAAGAAGCTACGTACGTAAGGCATGTTCACGAACGCTCTCTGTAAAGAAGGTATAATAAGGTCGTATAATAATCAAGCAATAAATATGAGTTATTATGGTGGTCTACCCACCTGGAAGGAGGTAGACCGACGATCTATTGAAAGTCACGAGAATCCATTGGTTGGAGCGCAGGACTGGTCGTAGTGGCGAACTTCGGGGAGAGCTTTGTCCCGCAGTGGACATACGTCGGCTGGTGACGATTTGGAACAGTGAAAACGTTTTTCCAACAAGACAGCCTCCAGGAGTTGTTTCAATACTTACATAGAGCTTGGCCCGATGTACTGCCGACCTCATCTCTGTAACGCTTTACTGGTGGTAGGAACTCTTGTGAGTCCGCATGGGTAGGTGCCACCACCCAGCCTATTTCTGCCGTAAAGCAGTAATGCGTTTCGGTTTGAAGAATAAGGCAGCCGTTGTAATTATACTGCGCTCTTACAACCCATATCTCAAGGTGGGTAGCGGCATTTGCGTTGTAGATGTCTATAAGCTCCTGTAACCACTTAACACCAGGTGGGCTGTGAGCTCGTCAACAAATCTATGCAAAAAAAGAAAAACGCGGCGATATTAACAGCTCCAATTGACCTTTTAAAAAAGAGGGGATATTCGCTTTGTCGATAACCCGACCCACGGGTAGACTCTGCTCTCTGAGTCATGTGCCGGACCTTCCATAACTCTAATGCTCAGAGAGGATCCAGTCATGACCATAAATCGCACTGTGCTCAATCCAGTTTTGACCAAACTATGGCTATGAATGAGTAAAGCCAATTACCGATGTGTGCTAGTCTAGTGATGAAGATTCTGTTATGACTATGCACTCTATGTTAACCAATGATTGGGGTTACCAGGGGTGTCGCCACTCACTTCGAAACATTAGGTCCAAGTCTTAACGCAACTAACTGCTTTGCGAGGTCGGGTCGGTGGTAACTACTCGTAAAGGCCCACAAGAGTTTCCACCACTAATAAAAGCTTTTGATTTGTCACAAAATATCCTTGCAGGAGTAAATCAGGAGTAAATGTATTAATTGCCATTATCCGGTGCATATGGTGCCAAAATTGCTTTGAAATCCCTGATTGATTTACGGCCGAAACGGGCATTAGGGTACCTTTCTGGTGAGTGGTGGATACCGTCGACTAGAGAACCCTTCCGCGATTGCAGGTAAAAGGCGAATCCTGGAAGAAGCTGCTTAGGACACTGATAGAAGCGGAGAATTTGTGCAACGTATTCAAATACTACGGCGTGGACAAGTACTTGACCTCGAGCGGGCTCACGGTGCTGCCCGAGCACCGAGGTCAGAACATAGGAGCCAGACTGTTCGCGGCTAGGTACTGTCGCTAACAAAACGTTTTTAATAATACGCTGTAATATCGCGTTTTTTAATTGTCATACATTCAAAGGCTTCTCTAGCTCATATAGCACCCGCATGCAAGCGTCGCTCTAGCGCCCTCTAGTGAGTGCACGGTCAAAATGAAATAGGTACGAATGTGGCAGGGTCATTAACAAAGCCGAGACCTGCCTCTCCGAAGTAAAGCTGCCCTGATACATATTTATCTAATTAAAAATTTTTTTTAAGACTCATCATCATATTAATCACCAACCCATAGCAGTCCACTGCTGGATATAGGTGTAGGCCTCTCCAATTGCTTGGAAGATTGCCTACGTTTGCCGCTAGGGGCGCTGTTCCGACTCCATACAAATTTGAGTTATCTTTTCCGCGATCGAGAACGTTAAAAACTCGCAATAAGTACACAGTACTTGACAGCACATTGCTTTACATTGCCTCTTTTTTTTCTTTACAATTCATTGATACAACGGCATTTTCAACAGAGAGCCCCTGGGAAACGCTCTTGGCATAGAAGCGACTGCTACCGTCTTCACGGCCACCACGTCCCAGGTCTTGGCAGCGAAGTGTGGCTACGAGACGTTAGCGGAACTAAAATACTCAGACATGTTAAAGTTCGGAATAAATCTGACTGAATGCACCACAGACAGAGCAAAACTAATGGGCACTCGATTCAAAAAACAACAATAACGCGTATTAGGAATTTATTTTATTTAAGTACAAAACATGCACGCACAAAAAAAAGAATTATTTTAATAAAGAATTTAATAATGCTCATGTTTTTTTATTTTCCACTGCCTATTTATTCGGTGGTCGCTTAAGGGGCTATTCCAGCTCAACAGTAACCCTAGACAAGAGTTTTGTCTCAGTTTTTATAGTACAACAGTTGTTCCAGCTTTCAAACCGTAATGCATTACTGCTTCACGGCAGAAATAGGCAAGTGGTACCTACCCGTGCGGATTGTGAACACCCCTACCTCTTGTAAGGGGTTTCGTGCTTGGAATAGGGAAGTAAAAGCAATTGTCATACTAAAATTACACAATTAAATTAGTGGGTAGGTTTACTTCAGTAGGCAGGTAAATGGGTTTTAAGTTTTGATGTGAAATTTTGAATTAAAATCTTTTTAAAAATAAAAACAATTTAATTTGCGCATATTTATGAGCGGTAGGGAATGTATTTGCCGAATAACGACCGATCAGCGCGGCGACACTGTAGCGACTGGTGTAATTTCCAAGATGGCGTCCGAAGTTGCTAAGTCAAATTCAACTCGGAACCCTTCGCTTAGTCTACAACTGCTTCAGGTCATATCATGCCACTCACTGTGAGCTTGTCCCCTACATAAAACAGTTATCTTTCGCCTCTAACCTCCACAATTAAGTTTCTATTTCAAGAAATCTCGCTACAGCAACGATATCTCTACATTCTACATTTTTCACTAAATCGTCACCATAAAATACTCCAAGAGGTCCTTATAAAGCAGTGATTATCAAACTTATTTCTTTTACCGCCCCCTTTGAAAATCAATTACTTTTCAGCGCCCCCCATTTTTTATACACCCCTAAAACTTTAAAACCACAATTTCATTAATTTAATTAATAAATATTGTATTAATTTTAGTAAATGTAGTAGTACCACATAGTACATAATTATGTATTTGTAGATGCTATTATTGTTTCTTCATATTATTATATGTCCGTACATTGCTACAGAGCACGTATTTACAAATTTGCAAAGTAAAAATGAATTCTTCTCATCAATATGTTTGTTTAAATTCAGAATCACCAAAATAAATTGCTAGTTCACTGTACTATTACTATGCTAATTTATTAGAACGAAACTATTTTTGTTGAATATCTTTCTCATTAATATAAGATTCTCATCATAGGATGATTAAAAATTTATATTTCGACTAGTAAATAATACTACTAACAATAATAACTTATTAAACTACGAATAAGCTAAACCTGGAAGTCGTAGAGGATTTCATTTATCTGGGCTCCGTCACAGCTAGTAATGGATCCTCCGAAAAGGACCTCAGAAGGCGAATCAGAATGGCAAAGGCAAATCGTCACCTCCCTCGTCTTTTCCATTTTTCTCTACGGCGCAGAGACTTGGACCCTCAAGAAAGCCGATCGCCAACGCATCGACGCGTTTGAGATGTGGTGCTGGAGGAAAATGCTCGGAATTCGTTGGACAGAACACAGAACCAACGAATCCATTCTTACCGAGCTCAAGATTCCAATGCGCCTCAGCACTACATGCGCGCGGAGAAGTTTCGAGATCTTTGGACATA